AACATGTCTTAAATTAGTGGAATAAAGCAGGTGTCAGTTCACCTCCTCCAGTGGTTCCCATGAGTATATCCACATGAACCATTCAGTTTCGGTTCATTTGCCAGGCATAGCTAAGTCTTCTTTTTTGTATCCACATCAGGTTTTTTTTAGTCTAGATCTGTTTTTTCAATCAGTTAATTATTTAATAATGAAGTACAATTTTTTTAAGACACTGCTTTATGGTCATCTTCTTTACTTCTTCCTTTCACTTCAGTATTAACTTTCTTTATCTTCAAGATGATATAAGAAGAACTACATCTAATACAACACTGGAAACTGGCCCTCCAGCCATGCCAAGGTTACCATCATGCTGCCCTCAGCATTCTCCTTGTGGAGGACCTTCACAGACTCATCATGCACTGGGGCACCCGCATACAAGCTGCTTTCAGCAGCATGGCCACCACTTTCAGCATCACCACCACCACCACCACAACCCTCACCCAGCTGTTCCACTGTCTCCTTCATTCAGTGACTCTAGCTGTCCTGTTGAAAGGCCTCCTCCAGTGCCTGCACCCTGTGGAGCAAGCAGCAGTTCTGGCACCAGTTACCATGACCAGGCATGTTTAATTCTCGTGACTCTCCCTTTGCGATTTCAAGTTGTTATAGATATGAGAGAATAGAATAGGGTGCTGAATTGTGGATTATTCTGTTGTTCTGTAGCAGGCATTATAGAAGGGAACTAAAAGGAAAATTTGAGCCATAACATACACACACAAAAATTTGAAATGTTACAGAAAGTCATAATCCAACAAGTAATCATTAACAGCTGACATACTCTTGATGACTGTAAGATGATAGTGGTTGTTTAAACAAACCAAACATAAATACCTTGAAATATACTCTGCCAATCATAGCAGTTTTGCAATGCAAATAATTGAGATGCTTTAAGGGAAGAAAAAATAAAGTCTAATGTTCTGTTTATAAAGGTATAAAAGAGTTGCTCTTCTAAAAGCATTGTTTCTTACGACTTTTTAGGCAACTAAAATCACACCTGTAAAACAGTACAGTTATAAATAAGAACAGTACTGTGCAAACTTAATTTACAACATGCAGAACTATCAACCTGGTTTCTGTTTAAGTGTAATATATTAAGCACAACTGAAAATGCTAAAGATTGATTTTTACCTCCAAATATTTCAATGCAAGTAGCTCCCATATACTCACTGGTTTATCCATCATAGGGCTTTTGGGGTTTTTTATGCAATCTGGTGTAATGAATTTAGTCTCTTGCCAGATTCAAGAATTTAGGAATAAGAAATGTTAACCATATTGAAAGAATGTTCCAGAGTTGAGCCTTAAAGCTTAAAAATTTGTATCTCAGTTGCTTGTGGTAGTATTTATTTTTTTATCACATGATGTTTGAGAGTGACTTTGTTTTCAATGTCTGAAGAATTGCTTGAAAAAAAGATGCTTTGTTTATGCAGCAGGCATTGCCAGTAGACTTAAGCAGCAGTGGTATAAGAAGTCATGGAAGTGGTGCTTTTCATGGAACATCTGCTTTTGATCCTTGCTGTCCTGGTTCTTCATCTCGAACTGCAATTTATGGGCATCAGGCTGGTGCTGGCCCAAGCCAATCAATAACAATAGACGGATATGGATCAAGTATGGTTGCGCAGCCACAGCCCCAACCTCCTCCTCAGGCATCACTTTCTTCCTGTCGGCATTATATGCATTCTCCTTGTAAGTACTGTTAAGTACTGGGTACCTGGTGGGGGAAACCAAACAGACAAGAAGACAGCTACCCTGACAGCATAGGAAAACTTTTACTGTTTGCTTGCCTTGATCTTAGAACTGGCCGGGGAAAACGTGTATTAAGAAATGCATTTAAACAGTTCAGCTTGTATAGAGGATTTAAGCAGGATCAAGGTGAAGTTAAAATATTTTCTTTTGAGTGACCTTAATAGCATTCTGACTTCAAAAACTGTATTTACAAGGAAAATACTTTTCATCTCCTCTGTGTCTTAGCAATGCCTTTTTATTTCTTTTTCCTTGGTCCGTGCCGTCCCCCCAATGCGTCCTGCTTGAGCAAGCTCAGAGTCAACTCATTTTTTTGATTGTGATTTCTTTTTTTGGATTTTATTGTCTCTACAGAATAGTGGACTTGTGTGGGAGGACTGAATTTTTAAAAAACTAAACAACAAACCTGAAGTAAAATTTCTCACCATATATACCTTTTTCAGTGTGCATCTCACGTTTTTTCTTTTCTTTATACCGACATTGGCAAATGGAATACTTTTGGCTGCAGAAAGTACAGGTTTCTTGTAGAGTGTATTGCTGGAATCACTTTATTTAAAAATTGGGTAAACATATTTATTCCCATGTTGCCACTGTTTACACTGTTGTAATAACATTGAAGCAGCTGTGTGAAGATAATTTTTTAAAATAAAGTCAAAACCTGCTACTGACCAAATTAAAAGCACCTGATGTTTTCATTCCAGATGCTTCTTTGACCAGACCTCTTCACCATCAAGCTTCTGCATGTCCTCACTCTCATGGAAATCCTCCTCCACAACCACAACCTCCACCTCAAGTAGATTATGTTATCCCTCATCCAGTACATCCCTTCCATCCTTCAATCTCCTCTCATGCATCTTCTCATCCTGTTCCACCTCCACCACCAACTCATCCTTTAGCCAATGCAGCTGCTCCAATACCACAGCATCTTCCTGCAACACACCAGCCTATATCCCATCACATCCCTGCAACAGCACCTCCAGCACAGAGGCTACATCCTCATGAAGTGATCCAGAGGATGGAGGTCCAGAGAAGAAGAATGATGCAACACCCAACGTATGTCACAAATGTACTCAGAAAAATATCTAAACATATAATTCATTTTCCTCAGGTTTGTAAAATGTTGCATGTGAATCTCAAACTGTTTAATTGTATGGTTAGGAACTGTTACTATTAAACCACGGGAAGAAATGTCTTTACCGTCACAGTCACGTAAGCATTAAGACCGAGCCTGTTCCATTACGTATCTCAACAGTGTCTCCAGGTAAGTCACAAATAGAGCGCAGAAAGAGTAGGGAAACTTATGTTTCTCTTGCCCATTACTCATCCTCCAAGCAACAGGCAGGAGTTCCTTTTCAAGCTGGACAGCCTAGAAAGTACAGCATAAGCTCCTTTCAAATGTGTTCCTTGACAGTCTGTAATGCCTATTAAGATTCCTTTTATCTAAATAATGCTTTAAAATCAAATGAACAATTAAGAGACTGTTTGACAAATAAGAGACTGTTTACCATGTTTAATTCAGATTTAACCATACGTATTTACCTAGCTTTACTATGCCTTTATGTCTTTAGAAGATAATCTGTATGAGAATGTTGAGATGTAGTTTTGGTGATAGTGTTTAAGAGATGCTACGGTTGTTGCTAAACTAGATTCATGACACTAGTATCAACAGAAATCAGGTCAGTGGTATTCAGTCACAAAGTAACTGAAGCTATTTTAATTCTGGAGATTATGCAAATTCTACTGGTAACTAAAAACTGATTTAGAAGTTAATGCTTAAACAAAAATTTGCTTTAACTGTAAATTCTTGGGCAGTTTCCAGGTAATTCATAAAGATATCTATAGGTAGTAACTGCTCACAAGGTGGCACATGACAAACTTCCCCCACCCTGTCCACCAAGAAAGTAAAATATAACCCTGCTTTCTCAGTGATTAAAATTTTGATGTATCTGAACCTACACCTGTTCTTTTATTTTTACAGTGCAAATAGCATAACCTCTAAACACCCTAACCTAAACCTTCAGGCATACTGCTTGTGTATGCCCATGATTATGCAGTCATTCCCAAAAATTAATCTTGCAACATTCAAGCCAGTGAATGTGATACAGCATGATAGCATTTCAAGGAAAAATAATAGTGGTAGCTATCTTACCAGTTATGGAAGCTTCCTTGTAGTTCGGGGATTGCAAATGTGAGTATTGGCATTTCTTAGCCTAGTGAATTTTCTTTGTACAGAAACTGTAGTCAAATGTTGATAATAATTTCTTCCTTGAATTCTCTATGAAGTCACCAATCTCAGGTCAGACAGTGTCAGTTTGCTCAGTGAGGTTTCTCTTCTATAGTTTTGTTTTGTAATCTTATGAAATTGTTCCACCCTTGGTCTTTCTTTTCCCCTCTAATCCTCGTACAAATGACATGCAAAAATCAATATTGTAGGTGTCTTGACCCAACCTCATATGAATCAGATTATACTCCGACAACCAGAAACTTGTGTATATTTGCTCTGTTATTTAAGACAGACAGAGACCACCAGCAAACATGGTTCCTTCAGTTCTGTGTCCCAGCATCTCAAAGTGTTCTTAAGGCGTTGTTTCATCCTTCATTTCTAGAAATAGTGTACGATACAGTCTAGCTTGTATACCTTCTGCCTAACATTATAGGACTTTTTTAGGATATAGGGAATGGTTAGAGTCCTCACTGTCATGTCTCAAGCATGAATACAGTGCTGTTACATCCTTAGGGTCTTGGAATCGTCCACAAAATCAGCCACAAGAGGTGCAAAAGGCAATGTATGAGGGTGCAATGCATTTGTGTAACATAAGGATTTTATGTTTATTTTAAATCTGATCACCCACTAAGATTGTGGGATAGACAGCCTAGGCTTTTACAGGCATAAAAATAATTTCAAATAGGTTTCTTTTAAATTAAGACTCATTTTAGGAAAATGGGCCTTCATGACATTCAATTTTTATGGAAGCATGGAAGTTGTTTTGCTATGTTTTTTTACTAAGATATGTTCTTCCAGATTTTTCCCCATAGTTATTTGATAAAGTGAAGGGAGAGGAGACTAGGAGTAGGTTCTGCTGATAGATCTGTTCCCATGTTAGTCTTCTACAATTGTAGAAGACGAAAACTTCTAGCATAATTTACAGAAGCTTGACAGATTTCTCTGGAGAAGTGTTAATTTACAGAGGTGTTAGAATAGCCTTTTTACTTCTCTAAACATGTAAATTTACAAAATGTCTCATCTACTTTATCAGGTAGTTTAAGGTGATACTGAATTTGAAGACAGTGTACTGCTTTTGGAAAAATCCAAGTTTCTAGGTTGAATTTAAAAAAAAAAAAAGCTTCCTGCATTGAAAGCAATGGAAAGAAAAATACCAATCCATTTCTTTCTGTAACTGGGAAGTGGTAAAGTAACAGAAGCCAGCCAGCAGGTTTCTTTTGAAGATTTTTTCAAAAACTGTGGTTGTTCTGTACTAGCTGGCATGGAAAAAATTGTGTGCTCTTATTACTTAAGCTATGATGCAAACATGTTTCAAGGAGAAAGTCCTCTGCTAAGTGTATTACGTTTCCCCTTATTACTTTTGCTGGTATAGTTTTACTAGAAATAATCTGCAGCATAGCTGTGAATGACTCTGAATCTCAAAGCGACCATCATGTGCCTTTGCTTTCCTACCTGCAGTTTGAGGTTAGGATTTAACATTTTGTCAGACCTTATATAGTCATGTCTGCCAAGTGAAGGACAGATTACAGTAGCTGAAGCTGGCTTTCTCTTTTAATATAAAATTATTCAAAGTTATAATTAGTTTCTATCTTTCAATCTGAAGTTGAAATTAACATACTGTATGGGGACGTGGTTTTTTGGGTTTTTTTAATTTTAAGTGCATTCTAGTAATTCAATCTGTAACATTTTGATTATAGATGTTGCTTTCTTGATACTGACAAGTATGTGAAATTAACTGTTGCTGTTTTATGTTGTTTAGACGTGCTCATGAGCGGCCTCCTCCGCATCCTCATAGAATGCATCCCAATTATGGTCATGGGCATCACATTCATGTGCCTCAGACAATGTCTTCCCATCCTCGACAAGCTCCAGAGAGATCTGCCTGGTTAGTAATCAGATACTATTTTAGTTCCTTGGGACTCAGGACAAAAGATCATAATGTGCTGATTACAGTGCTGAAAGTGCTGGCTGTGATTTTTAAAAGTGCTGCATGCACCTGTAGTCTATTGATGTTGATATGGCTTTGAAATATTGCTTTGAGTACTCAATATCTTAAATATATTTCTAGGGGGTTTTATCCATTGCTTTTAAAATGGAATTGAGTGTTACTGACTCTAGGTAGTTATTTCAAAAACTGATTTTAAAATAGGCAAGTAAAACATTGCTGAAGACTATTCTCATGTTCTTTGTAAAACAGAGGTTTGGATTTGAGTTACAGACTAATTTATTCTCTCTCCTGTTTTTCTGAACTAATTTAAAATTGCATCAGGCCCACTCATGAAGGTTACATTTAAGTTCTGCAATATATTTATTATAAAATATATATACTTTTGACCATCAGGGAAGAGGCGCATGTGTGACAGCTGCTGTTCCCACAATGCGAGCTACAGAGAAGACTCCACACTGATAATATTCCTGGGCACAATAAATGTGGAGTTGTCTCTATGGATTTATCATACTAAATCTTCACAGCTGATTTAAAAACAACTTTTAGTTGTGGTGGGATGAAGATAGTTCTTTAGCAAAGTATAAATAAGTTTTAAAACAATTCTTATGTAAAACTGTTAATGGCAGCTGTGCTGTGTTGTATGCTTTCCAGAGCAGTGGAATTATATCTAGGAGTCAAGATGTACCTTTACTGTAATGCTACTTTCATTCATGTGACAGGGAACTGGGAATTGAAGCTGGTGTGACTGCAGCTACTTACCCTCCAGGGCCCTTGCATCCTCACTTGGCCCACTACCATGCACCTCCTCGACTTCATCACTTGCAAATAGGAGCCCTTCCTCTAATGGTAAGGAGATAGCCTATGAAAAATTATGATCCTTGATCATTGTAATTATTTTGTTTGTCAGGAAAATTATTTTAAGGTTTACTGCACTTAATTGGACATGTATACATTACTGCAAAAGTTAGTGGTTCAACTGAAGATGAAAATACTCCAGTGTTTCTGTGTGTTGCTCCCAGACAGGGAGCTAGAACAGGCTCATGTCTAATAAGAAAAAAAAGGTTTAGGACGCTAACATTTCTAACTTCAGTTCTTGTAAAACGAAACATATTTTAATTAAATTGTCGCTTGCATTGCAATGCATTGACCCTCTGCATCTGATTTTTGAAGTTCAGATTCTTCTTCAATGAATTTTGGATTATTAAAGGTACCAACTTTCCACCCAGTGCGAGGGGATTAGCACTGGTTCTTTATTTTTAAGGTGTATGTACAGCATAGCTAGAACTCCATTTAGAGATTTAGTTGTTTTCAAGTACTATTTGTTGTTCATCAACCTAATTCTGTTTGATGAAGTATATAATTTTGTAGCATGAAGTGTTATAAGCAGCAGGAAGCGGGAGGGTAAACTAGTTCCTTGTTACACATAACTTTTTTAATCTACATTAGAAAACCAAGGACAATCAGCATAACTCTGACTTTTACAGAGTGTTATTTTTGAAAGAATGTTTTTAGGTTTATTTAAAATATCCTTAATTTTGTTTAATGAAAATTCACAGAGACACAAATTTAGTTTAACAGAGCATGTTTAGTGTTTCTATGTGCCATTCTGTGTGGCTAAGCCATATTATTTAACCCTCTTAAAGCTATATTATCTAGTCAAAATTGTGGGCTCATCTGTAAATTAATGCTAAAATTGTAATTAAAAATTAACCTGCAAGTCTTGTCCATCCAGAATTCCTCTGGTGGTAGCCAGAATTGATATCTAGGGATTGAACTGTAACTTTACAAGCAATACGGTAATAGCTGTCTCTTTATAGTCTGGTCTTACATTGCTTGTACCTTGCTGTTTCACTATTGCTGTGAGGTTTCTAGAAACTTCAGAGTTCAACTGATCCCTATATTACAGTGTGATGAGAAACTTTTAACAGTATTTTAACTCTTATAAGGATATTGCTACAACTAAAATGTTACACAAGCAAGTAGTTGGGACCCTACTGTTTATCTTCTTTTTAGCAGCAGAATGGAAGAAAGTTGTGATAGAGAATATTCAGAAGTATTTCCTGAATGTGTGATAGAACACTTTAAGGAGTCTTGCCCTTTTGCTCAGTAGCTGCTGTTACTAAATTGATAAAAGTCTCAGGTGAAATAGGGTTCTTTACAGAAATGTGTGTGTGTATTTGTGTAGGGATATCTAATCCTCATAACAGTAATTCCTGAATCTCTGGATGAAATTGAATTGTTTATATTTTGAGTTTTTGTACACACACTGTACTTACAGCATGTTTTACAGAGTATAGACTTCTGTAAGCAGTACTTCCTCTGTAAGCAGTACTTCCTCAAATGTTTGGGATCTGTTTTGAACCTTGCTCTGATCAGATCGAGCGTGTTATGACTTTGAAGTTGTATTATGAGTCTGACTCATTTGAAGTGTATTCAGATTACATGCACTAGAAATACATAAAGGCAGGTTAGAGCATAGAGCACTGCTAGAAGTTAGATATACAATGAGTTCAAAGCATTACAAATGCCTTTCGATGATTCTACCCCTTCTCTGGCAATAATGAAAGTTGAAATTTTCATTTGCATGTATGCCAGAGTACAGCAGAGCAGTCAGCAAAACTGATTTTGAATATAGAGCAAGTAGTCAGTGAAGTTCTTCGTCTAACAAATTTAACTGGATAATAAATGAAAGTGACGTTGTATATTTTATTAAAGAGCAACAGATTAATTGCAGCTGTCACCTGGCTTTTTTCACTGTAACTTTAGGAAGAGGAGGAGAGGCATTAGGGTCCCTCTGCTGAGAGGTTAATATTATGAGAGGTGCTTTCCTCTCTTAGTAAATAGCAATTTACAAGGCTCATTAGGTGTATTCTTCATGCAGATATCATCAAATGTTGATGTTCTCCATTCTTTATTTTGAGAGGGTGGAAAGTCTTTTAAAGTAACTCATGCAGGAGCTCAACTGAAAAACTGATCTGTGTTGAATCCAGTTTCTGAAATAACATGCTGCCCAGTAGGCAGCGTGCATTTTTTCCATCTGTTACTACTGCCAGGCCATAAATGGCGTGATGGATTATTTGGTCTCTAATAACACTAGTACTCTGATATATCAATTTCAGATTTTAATTGGATGCTGATAATCTAATGTTCACTGGGTCAGCGCTGGAATGTAGACTGCAGTTTTAATCCTCAGGTAGACAAGATGATAAGGATATGTTGGAGGAGATAGTGTTCAGCAGCTTTGACAGCCCAAATAGATAGTGGGGAAAACAAAATCTCCTTTTCTATTAGCTTGGTTGAAGAAACTTTCACCTGTTTAAATATTGCTTCAGGAGGAATCCTACATGAAAAAACAGTTAGAGCTTCTTTCATATCTATGTAGACAAGGATTAGGCAGCTTCCCTCCTGTATTTAACACAATTTGTTAAGTGTGACCCTGGGTTAGAGTAGTTTGTGTTCCCATTGTTATTGCTTTAATGCCATGTATGTGCTGCAGAAAGATGTTACAGTTATTTTTATGATGGATTCCATTCTGGACAAATATCCATTCTGTAAACTTGAACAATATTTTTAGGAAAAATCAACTGAAGATCAGTGCATGGCGTAACTAATGAAACATCAGAAAAGAAATACACTGGAGATAGAGGCTTTGTCTGTTTCTCTGTTCTTTTCTGATGCTAGTGCTTGTTGTTAGATGCCATGTTAAATTTCTGTTTACTCTGAGAGACTTTGGCTGCTCTTTTGGCACTGTTGATGAAAGGCTTTTTGACTCAGAGTGTCCAGCACCAGTTTTCACATCTTGGAGGACGGGATGGGAATTTCTGTAATTTAATAAGCTGAAATGGATGTTAAAGGGAATGTGACTTTTTCATAATGAACTATATACCAGCCATAATTAATAATCTGTGGTTCTGTGATAATTCTTACTAGCCAAACCATACTTAAGGATGTAATGCATATCCAAGCAGAATTCCTTTTCTTCTGTTGCTTCAGGAAAGAAAAGGCATCCTAGTTTGTAGTGAAATCTGGAAGGGGAAAAGTCCAAAAAGAGATTGCCAGAAGATGTTTCTAAATTTGGCCTGAGGACACCCTGAAAATGGTCCCCTTCTCTATACTGCTTGCTCTTCTGTCTCGTTTTCCAGACGTTACCCATTTACCTGAAGGACCAGAATGCCATGCTTAGCTGTAAAATCTGTTACTTTTTGTAACTGAAAATATGAGAATATTTCTAACATTTTTCAGACTTTAAAAAAATACGAAAGGATTAGGAAAATGGAGAATAATTTATTTGCTATAAAGTTTGAAAAGTTTGTAGACATTCATTTAGAAATTGTAATTTAGTTCAGCTTTGAAACAGGAACTTGCTCTGAATATGAGTTTGTTACTAGGATACTTAAAAAAAAA